CAGGAGCAGTCACAACGCGGCGGAGGACGAGTAACTGAAACTGCGCATTAGGACGCTAAATCCCCTTTTCCCCGCACCCGGCGAGGACCTTACCCCGGATAGGCTGCCGGGCGTCGTCCCCCCCCTCTTCCCATGCCTTCTACCTTATTGCTGGACTAGGACCCAGGGCAGGGAGTTCGCTGAACCCCGGTTCGAACCCCTGGCCGGGTGATTGCACTCAGCCCTCAGGACATAGACCGGGAATTATAGACAGTGGGTCCGCTGAACCCCCCTGCCCCATCGGGAGGGGGCGCTCGCACCCGTGTGCCGGGCGTCGTCCCCCCCCTCTTCCCATGCCTTCTACCTTATTGCTGGACTAGGACCCAGGGCAGGGAGTTCGCTGAACCCCGGTTCGAACCCCTGGCCGGGTGATTGCACTCAGCCCTCAGGACATAGACCGGGAATTATAGACAGTGGGTCCGCTGAACCCCCCTGCCCCATCGGGAGGGGGCGCTCGCACCCGTGTAAAGCCGTCACAGTCATGCTGAAGTCCTTTTATACGCTTGCATTCCTGAGGACTAAGTTTAACATCAAACTAGACCCTACATGAAACCAGGCCCTCTTTCTCCACTCCTACTCATTAACACTCTCCACCAAAGTTGTTTAACTCTCGCCCTTGTTGGAAGTCTCATATAGGCCAGGGACTGATTGGTTATAGAGAATGAACTGCTCTCTTACCCCTAGAGATGAGTAGGGACAAGCATTTTGGCATGGAAACGGTGTGCACGTAAGGGTGTCACTCATCCAGTTTTAAGTAGGCTAGCACTCTCTCTTTGGTGGTTTGTCCCCTCCTCCTGTATAAAAGAGGTGGGTTTTCTGGTACCAACCTGCAGACGCCATTTGGAAGTATATGTTGCTCCACCCCCACTTGCAGGACCTCACACACACGCACAGTGGCAGGGCAACACACTCTTCAACATGGCATCCCCTTTGGAGTGAGACCTGTCAAGCACAATGCTTGCTAGTTCATACCAGCAGGGATGAGGTCACAGCCGTCGGGGCAAGCCCAAGGCATTCCCAGAAGTACCTAAATGTCTGGTACTTCAGGACTGTGTGAGTGGACATGCTAGCGTGTAGGGGAAGGAGATGCTTGTGTAGCCCACAGGTCAACATGTGCGCCACAGGGCTTCCTCTGTGCTGATCTACAGGCAATACGAGACATTACAGCCCCAGGTAAGGAGCTTTATCTTAAGCTTCCAAGCTCTAGAGAAGCCCCATTCAAAGCCCAGTCCAATCAGCCAAGGTGGCAGGCATCACACTTATACTGTTGTCACCTATGCTTCACCTGCTCCATGAAAACACAGAGGCCGTCAGTCTGGCACTATTCATTAGTACAAAATTAACTTATAGGAAGGAAAGGCCCGGGTATGCAGACTGAGGATCTGACCCAGAGACACGCTGAGTACCCTGCTCTGGCTGCTCTGAATATGAAGGAGATTCTGCAATGAGGCAACTGGACAGACAGACCCTGTGCTTTGTTCTAGCTCCCAGACTGACTAACACAGCCTGTCCTGTCCAGTAACACTGAACAGGGTCTCCATTGCTCCTGGCCTGGCCTCTGTCACAGAAGGGACTGTTAACTATGCAACACCATCTTCTGAGGATCAGGCCTCAAGGTTTGGGTGAAAGCACCGCTCAACGTCACAGCTACTTCAAGGAAAACTAAGGGGAGCTTTCAAATAGTGGTCTGAGTGGTTGGAAAGCCAAGGCAGGAATAAGATCATCCTCATTGAGGAGCAACCCAAGAGAACGTGGTGGTGATGGGTCCAGCAGGAGAACCGAGTCAGAGGGGAGCAGGAAGGATTCCATCCCAGCCCATTCCTTGACTCAGCCCATGTGTGTGAAAAAGGACAGTTCTTAGCTATCTATATTCTTCTTGGGTCCCTATTCACATCACTACAGCTGGTAGATCTAATGAAAACACAAGAGAATCTGTTCTTTGTGACCACAAGGTTAATAAGAGTGAAACTCAGCAGCAACAGCAGGGACCGCAGGATGAAAAATTCTCTTTAAAGCTAGAGATAGGAAGGCTATAGGAGGTAAGCGTGACATTTCAACACTGAGGAGCCCAACTTAATTACCTGCAATTCAACATAGGAAGTTATATATTAAGGCAGAACAAGAGGAAGCTTTGCCTACTCAAGAGGATTTAACATTTTTAACTCTCTTGTTTCCAAAGATGCCAGTCCACTTTCACTGGTCTTAGCCCAATAACAGGCTATGTATATTTCTGCCAGTTTAGATCAGATACAAGATCTCTCTCACTACCTGCCTTGAGATATAGTTTTGCAGTGTGTAGGATCACCAAATAGCTGTCCTGTAACATCTCCGAAGTGGCTGCCCTTTAGTGGTAAGCAAACCAATTCCATCAGAATTGGCTAAATAAGATATTCAGATGGTATTGGTGTTTGGAGTTGCTGTTATTCAAATGACATTTTGGCACCTGGATCCACATGTATTAATCAACTGAACACTATTTGGCAGAATTCAAATGACTGAATATTGCTGATATCCATGTTATCTGGCCAATTTCATATTTGAGTCATCTGTTTCATCTGTGTGTGTATTAGAGACAGACATATGGTTTACAAAGCGTGCTGAAAATGTTGGATGATAGACACTATCAAACATTTCTTTACCTACCTCAGGATCCAGAGACCTGCTTTGCAGAGATGAGCCCAAGCCAAAATTCCCTGAGCTTTGAAGGTAATAAAAACCACACTTTCAAATTCTAGGCCTTAAAACTATTGCTATTGATCTTAACGGACGAAGCAGGAATATGGTACACCCTAAGAGTTTAAAAGCTCCCAAATTTCAGATGGATTTAAAATTATTGCATCTCCCTCTCTCTACTGCTCCATCTTTCTCTCTCAGACCACCCTCATGGGAATTAGATTAATTACAGAATCTGAACAGTAGTTTCAATGCACAAACGGTAGAGGCAGAGTATAAAGAGGAACCACACTTGCAGCTATTTCTTTGCAAAAGGGGCAGAGATCAAAAGGGAAATCCAGGCAGTGGAGTAAGCAAGAAATACAATGAAGTGCAATAAAGCCCTCTGGACTGTAGCTTGCTGAATGCCTCAGCAGTCCATGCCTGACCAGAAGACTTCAGCAGCCCATAGGTCCAATCCTGCCTTAGCACTTTCCACTCTCACTGAAATCAATGGGAAGTGATTTCACACAGAATTTGCAGGAAAAGGCCCTATTTTGGGGGCGTGCTTGGCTTCTAGTACTGAACTCGCCTTGCTGTCCTCAATTCCTTGGCTTCACCCCACGCAGCATCACCACCAGCAAACTGCCAAGAGAGCCGAAGGCCGTCTCTGTCACATCACCAGCATTGGTAAAAGGGCTGGTAGTTCAGCTGTATCCACACTGTGTTCCCCACCTTCCCGTTGTTGCACTACCACACATGCAGTTCCACTGTGTCATCAAATCCTGGCAATAACATCTGTGGCTAGCGTACAGCACTGCACCACTGCTCCTACTTATGCAGCTGTAAATAGCATAAGATGTATTTACATCATTAAAGGAAAGAAGATTAAAAAAAAAAGCTATAGAGGGGAATATTTAGAAGCAGACATATCCAAGTCAGTAGGGGACTGCAATCTCTGCCCTCTGAATACCTGCCGGAATAACGTACCAGCTGGTCACAGCAGATTCAAGTGTCACACAGCATATCTGGAGGGCAACCCCCTGAAAATTATTCCGTGACAATTTATTATTGAGGGGTTATCGTTTTTCCATAACTAAAGTTACGGTCAGTGTCCACTAAAAGCTATGAACATCTCTCTCACACACAGAGAGTGATGGGGGGAAGGGAGAGGGACTGATAATTGGAAAACTGCCTACTTTGCTCTGAAAATTGGTGAGAGCTTTCCCCACAGTGTACGGAGAAAAATTGATGAACTCCTTTTTCAGATACAGATTGCTACCTGTACTAAAGTTTTGACTTGTCTGTTCTGTTTCTTTGTATCCATTTGGCTCAAAAACAGGCTTATCCCTGGCCCCACCCTCAAAATATCCAAATTTAAATCTCCTTGAAAACTCGTCATGGTTCGTAACTACAAAAAAAAGGTGCAATTCAGGAAAGCTATTAATGATTATTATAGCCAGAAAAAAAATGGGTGTATGGTTGTAATGTGGTACAAGAGATGGTTGAAACATGGCATTTTTTGCAAATTATCAGCCTTTCTCCCCATCCCTCTGTGTGCGCATATGATGTTCATAGCTTTCATTTTATTCCAAAATAATAATTTTAGTTTGCTTTATTTTGGGGGCTGGAGTGGGAGGTAAAGAAAACAGTTATCCCAAACTGAAGTTTTGTCAAAACATTTTTGGCCAACTCTACTGGTGACTAACTGCAGCTAAGAGAAAATATATGGGTTCTTTTATATTCCATCAGAGATGCAGAAGATTTCCTTTAATTTGAGTGGTAGAATCCAATATTTATGGAGCTGAAGATTCTAGTCCCAGCTTTGCATGAAATCTAATATCATGCTGTTTGTTTGCAACAGTGGATTGATTCTTGAATAGTACTCAGTTTCTTTGCAAAGTACAAAGAAAATTAGTCTCTTTAGTGAGTTATCAGGCATTAAAAATTACTCTGAACATACAACCAGCCAAGGGCAGCCCATAATTGTATGCAGCTAGGATTCCAATAAAAGTGGGCACAGGAAGAATATCTTTGCGATTAATTTCAAGGATCGCCAAAAAAATTTTGGGGGGAGGGTGGAAAAATAAATGTCACAGCATATTTAAAGTTTTGAAGCTTTATGTTTAGTTTCTAATTGTTTTGGGAACTCTACTTAAAAACTAGTTTGATTGTTAGACATCATCAACTTCTGTATACATTTAACTAATGTAATTTAGGTCAGAGCTAATATATAATTGCATAAATATTTTTCAGGGAGATAGCTGTGTTAGTCTGTTTCGGTAAGAACAAGGAGTCCTGTGGCCCACCTTAAAAACTAAGGACATGTCTTCACTTGCTGTGCCGGAGACCGCTTTTCAGGCATTTTATTAAGCGGGTTCAGACCCGTAAATCGAATTCTGAAGGCAGCTCCACCTGTATTCCTCACAGTCACAAGGAGTAAGGGGAGCCGATGGCAGCATTAGCTCCTGTCAGCCTCCCTCTGTGAGGATGGCACCAAGCTCAGGTTAAGGTAAGCCAACTCCAGCCTTGAGTTCTACATAGCTAGGAGCAGAGGTGTAGCAAGGGTGTTATGCGCCCGGGGGCAAAGGCAAAATTTGTGTCCCCCCTCACCCATGCCACGAGGTGGGGCCCTGAACCTGGCACACGGCTGAGCCTGACCCTGGCCAGGGGAGCTTGTACTGCATCTTCTCCCACCCCCTCCAGTTTGGGGCCAGGCCCCTGCACACACTAACCCGCCAGTAGAGATGGAGGAGGGTTGGGCTGGGAGCAGAGAGCAGAGAGGCAGGAAGGATGCTCCAGCCACCACCGGAGGGCGGAGGAGGAGCAGGCGAGCCAAGGGATGACAGGGGGAACGGAGGGGGACTAAATTGGCACACATCCCCCCCAGCTTTCCTTGCTACACTACTGGCTGGGAATTGCATATCTTAACCTGACCTTCCAGATGTAGTGTAGAACTGGCCTAACAGATTTATTTGGGCATAGTCACTGACAAAGTGGCTTTGACCCATGAAAGTTTATGCCCAAACAAATCTGTTAGTTTTTAAGGTGCCACAGACTCCTCATTTTTATAACTAATTTTAAAATCCCTTAAAATACTTATTTCCAAAAAATCTGCTTTGTTGACTGTCATAGCAATAAGATGGGTGACTGTGTAGTCTTTGTGGACCAAAAGAAGCTTAATAAAGCCTTGCAAGAATTTATAAAATTTGCACTAACAGACGTTTCATGCCAATGCAGGGGAAAGACAGATAAGAAATGGGAAACACTGCAAGCTAAGGAGAAATCTGCAAGGTATCGCAATGCAGGAAGAACCAGAGACCAACAGAACTTGAGAGATAGAGCTGAGGAAGCCATCAAGAAGCAGACGTGGCCCCACAGAGCTCATGACTTAATAGGACCTAGGGAGGCCAGAAATCCCTGATGAGCTCCTAAAGTATATGTTGAATAAAAACAAAACAAAACAAAAAAGTTGAGCAACTGCTTTTCTGTGAAATCTTAGACTCCAAATATAAAAGAGAAGAGAGATCTGATGACCTACTGGTCTCAAAAATAATCCCTTCATTTGATAAAGAAAATGTGGAAGCAAACAGACAACTTTGTTAAGTGTAAGGAATGTTGTTCTTATGGCCCTGATCTGATTTTGTAAACATCTATGCACATGCATAACTTTAAGCACACAAGTAGTCCCATTGAAGCCACTGGGCCTATTCATAAGTTTAGAGTTAAGTACATTTGAGTTTTATTAGGATCAACATCTCAGAATGTGTAGCAATGAATGCTACAGCTAATAAACCTTAAACAAATAGGGAGGGAAGATGAGAATCAAATAAACTCAGTTCATACAGCCTCTGTCTCTCTCTCTCTCTCTGTCACTCACACACATAAAGAACAACAATATAAAACATCTCACTGTATATTCCAAAAATAATGTTAACTCTGCCCCTATATGACCAACCAACTACTCAAGGACACACAACAACCACACCATTTTGTATAAGGAAATATTCCACAGACTTGCTGACAACAGTCTTTCCTCCAGACAATTTATTTTGTCAGGTAAATTAAGTACTAATCTGATTTGATGGAATAGGCACTCAGTCCCTCTTCACATCCAAAGATAGATAGATTGTACCCAAACAACTGAGATTTTGCAGTCAAAAAGAGTAATAAGCCCATGGCTGCAAAATGTAGTTCCTTCCAGCAACTTTCCACAGCTGCTATGCCCCTGTTTACTCAAAGAACCTAATATCTTGTTCTGCAAAATGCTGCCCATTTATAATCTCATTTCTTTACCTTGTTGCAGGTAAAAATATTGATTCATTAATTGAAATACTAACAGTTAATTGCACTGATTTCTTCCAAAATGAAACTATTAAAAAGAACATTTCCTTTTACTGATGTTACTAATGACTTCTTAGATTATTAAAAAGGAAAGCGTTTTTTAAATGGAATTTATTTTCACTGTTCTTGCTGGATGTGTGTTAGCTTTTTGCATTCCCCTCATCTTTGACAGCGAGGGGGGGAAAAAACAATCAGTGAAATCAGTTTAACCTTTTGCTTCCAGTCAATTTCACAGTCAGGTTAGAAGAGAGTGTTTTGTATTTTAAGACAATGTTTGCACCAGCATTTCTGAAAATAACTCCATGGGCACATTTCCATTTGGTTGCTCATTTTATTTTGAGTAAAAACAAGGCCAAATCTGAACTGACAGCATCACTTTAAGAAGCAAACTGAGCCAAATGCTACTCCTTGATCTATCTAGATCAGCACATGGCAGCATTGACAGTCATAATTCTTATCAAGAACAACCACAACAGTCACTACCATAGGTCTGTCCTTTCAAGTGCTGTAATGAATGCATGTTGTCACAATTCAAAGATGAAGGGGGAGAACTGGTCAGGGAATTGGTGTTCTCTCGAGGCTCAAGTGAGTTCAATTCGCACTGATGTCAACAGGAGTTCTCATTGGTACACTATTTCTCCAAGCCACACATGGAGGGGAGGGGAAAATGGGATGGGGGCAAATCCTCTCTCTGCTGGCAAATCTCCCTAGCAATTGATTTTCAGTTTCAGGAACAGCAAAAAAAAGGACTAGAAAAAATTTTTTTAAAAAGGAAAGTCAACCCAAACCGATAGATTTCCAGTAGACATCTATTGGAATGGACATAGCCTTCGGACATTACGTTTTATCATTTTACTGACTTAAAATTAGAATTCAGTATACTAACTTTTGACTGTGCACTGGATCTCAACTAAACAAGCCAAAATAAGCTAGGTCCTCTCTTTCACCCTGATCTTCGTTCTTTTGCTACACAAATTAAAAGCAAAACATAATGGCACTTAACAGCCATCTCTGCTTTCCCAAATGGATTATTCAATCTGAATGTGCATCAACTGAAGAAGTTACCAAGAGACGATCAAGAGGTGACTGGTAACGATTACGTTAATCAAACCACAACTCTAAGAGGAGTGCTATCTTTAGCGATGTTTAGTGAGCTTTGTGAGAGAAAGTGAACATAAAGACTTCCTGAAGTTTATAGAACATTTGCCAGGAGCAAAGAAACTCAAATGCCAGAGCAAACCAAGCTGATAATCTATGACCCCGTGTAAAAAGGGCAACTATTCACTAGCTATGCTTCCCAGTAAGCAACTACATACCTAAGGAACTTGACACAGAAGAGAAAAAAGCTCTTTTCTGAAGAGTCCATAAGCCATTGATGCTCTGTAGAGAGGAACCACCCATATTCTGCATTAGGTGGTAAGACGGTTCTGCCAGGGTTTAGGCTGGTATAAATATAGCTATTGATTTTCCTTGAAAGTACTGAAACACTGTAACTTAAGGCTGGTTAACACTTACTCCTGTGCTACTCTGAGCATCTGTGCAATATATTCCTAGAGAAAAGACATATGTTGATAGTGGTAAAAAAGGGATAGTGTAGGATTTAACTTGAATGTAAGATCCTTGATTTCTATTGTGCAGACCGCCGTAAACGACTCAAAGTGAATTGGTGGGTTAAAACACATGCTGCAATTTTACAGTACTTTAAAGCACTTTCTTTAAGTAATTTAATTAAATCACTCCTCCACAAACCAAATTTCAGGAAGAAAAGTTGGCAACGATTTGCCCATTGGGCTTTATTAAGATCCCTTACATTCAGAATTGCTTCTTTTGGACACTTCTAAATTCTACCCACGATCTATGACAAGCAGATGGACTTCTCATTATAATCAGCTTCTGATCCTGCTTATTCAGAGGCAGGTGTTTTTAGGAAGGAAGAAGGTTTCACCTCCGTGGTACATTGTCCATAGGAGTGTCATTTACACTTCAAAAGATTCCAACCATCAGAAGAGGTTCTGGAACCAGTTTCCAAAGAGAGTGGCGGAAACAAAAACATAAAACTTGAAAAGTTTATAGAGTGCATGGCATGATGAGACTTCCTACAATGGTGTGGTGCCCATCCGCAATGGCTCTTAGCAAAAATCTTCCAACAGGTGGTGGTGGCACACTAGATGGGGAGGACTCTGAGTTGCACAGAGAAATCAGACTAGATGATCCTGATGGTTGGTTCTTCCCCTGGAGTCTCTGAGCATCAACAGGAGAGACTGAGGGAGCCTCAAAACAGTGTATCCCAGCGCGCTGTGTTTATACCACTGAGATGTGGGAGGCAAAGATTCAAATCATTTCTCCTGTTCAGGTCGGGGAGGGGGTGAGGAAAGGGGGCTCTGATTTGAATGTGGGTCTTCTACATCCCAGGTAAGAGCTCTAGCCAACAGGATAAACATTACAAGGCTGGCACCAGCTTTGTTGTGTATGGAGTTAGGCAGGAAGTGGTTTCACCTGCAAAACAACTTATCCACCTAAGCTGCTGACCTCTAGGGCTACGCCTACACTACGATTTTTCTTGGCAAAAAGTATGCTAATGAGAGACTCATTTGTATGAGTCGTGATCTCATTTGCATATTTTCTGATGATCCGTTTTTTAGCTAGGGTTTTTGTGCAAAAATCAAGCAGTGTGGACGTTTTCTTTTTGTACAAAAAAATCCTTTTTTGCAAGAGGGGTTTTTGCGCAAAAAGAAAATGTCCACATTGCTTGATTTTCCGTAAAAAAAAATATGCATAAATTATGCAAATGAGGTGCTGTGATGTGCTAATCCATTCCTCATTTGCATACTCACTGCCGGCAAAACCAGCAGTGTAGAAGTAGCCTAGGTGAGGGGTTCCTGGTAGGGAACTGCAATTAAAGAATGATGCCTCCTTGCAGCTCAGACTTGGGTGCCTATGTCCATGAGCAAGGCAGGGTAAGGCACCTCTCTAATCAGCATCTCTCACTGACTAACTCGGGCAGGTCACTGCCTAGTGTGCTGGCTCCGGTGATTTATTTTTCAGCCTGTTCATGTTAGGAAGATAAATTCAGGAAGCATCACAACACCCCTGTGGAGGTAGAGCAGTGCCGCTGTTCCCATTTCACAGATGCCAGTCTCCTCTGGGCCAAAACACTCCAGTCATTCCTCCCTCTTCACTTATCCCCACCCATATGCTCCTCCCTCCTCCTGCCATTTTCCCAACCTACCCCAGTGCTGGGGGCATTAGGGCTGATCAGCTGCCTTGGTAAGCCCTTTCAAACAGCAGAGCAGCCACGAGGGAGCCTCAAAGGAGCTGGGAATCCTGCCTCATACTCTTCACTCCCACATCTGAACACATGGCTGGGTCCGGTTGCTGATGTGGAACGGCTGCTGAATGCAGCCAAAGTCGTCGCTGTGTTTCAGTGTGTGGAGAAGGACTCTTGCGTCAAGCAGTTTGGGAGCTGGTAGGAAGCATAGATAGAAGTGTATAGCAGCCATTGGTTAGTCCTGCCAAACTGTTCAAAGAATAGATGTGGTTGCCGCTAAACAACAGCAGTGAAGACAGGGCAGATGTGAAGGGGTAATCCTTCCCCACCATGTCAACTGAGAAGAAAACAAACATCCTGAGGGGAAGGCATGCTGAGCTGTGCTAATCCCTTGGCACTGATGCATCACCCACTCACCATGTAATGTCCCAGCATCACTCCTCCCTGCAACCCCCACCCAGTTCACAAACATCTTGGTTAGCTCCTCGTATCATGAACTCGATTTCTCAAAGGAGAGCCTAGAGTTCCCTCTGCTTGAGGTCACTGCCCAAGTGCACCACACCTGTACTCTAGGTGAAATTATTCATTTGCTGCCATTTTGTGATGTGAGCTGTGTCACAAGATGGAGAGCAAGCATCAAGCAAGGGCCCACATGGCAATAACACACCCATTCCCTCAAGGAAGTCAGAGAGCGTTAGCTTAAGACTTTGGAAATCCAGGGTTAATCCCCTGCTCTGCTGCAGACTTCCTGCATGACCTAGAGCAAGCCACATAATCTCTGTAATTCAGTTTCCCATTTGTAAAATTGGAACAGAACACTCCTGTGAGATCATGGGAAGTAGTGAGGATGACTATGAAAACCCATGAAATGCTCAGATATTATGGTCACAGGGGTCATGTACATATTGGGAGAGTGTTTCCTTCCTTCTTTATGCTGATGACCAGAGTGCACAATGTGATACAATTAGCTCCGTACATTTTCTGCGGAGATATAGGGGCTTTTGGTTTGCGTAATAATTCCAGAGCAAAAAATTGTGCATTATTCAGTTACTCACAAGTGGTGGGAACATTTCCATGACTCAGAAATCAAAATTCACTCTCAGGATAGTTTGTGAAAAGTCACTCATAAGAGCCTTGAATCCCAGCAGAGCAAAACTGCAATTCCTATTAGAACTAGTATTAGCAACTGTTTGGTTTTTTTTTAAAACTGTTCTTTCTGATGACAGGGGGCTGGGTAGCAGAGTTTGACATCCAGAAACTGACAGGAGTAATAAAAACTGACAGATCTCATGAAAGCCAAGCTACAGTACCACAAGTAATTAATAGTGTAATTATTCAGCTCCAGAAGGTCTTAGATGGATGCCTCATGGGGAGTTCTTTTTTTTATTTATTTATTCTCACCCACTTTTTTTCATGGCATTGGGGCATGCTAGGTTGGGACTCTTGAGTTATCCCCTACTCCATGCCTCAAGATGTTCATTATGAATAAAGTCAGGTTTGAGCCCCACACTGGGTTTGAACATGTTCAAATCCTGGAGAAACTTTTTTCCAGACCCAAACTCTGGAACTGAACCAAAATGCTGTAATGGACCAAATCAAGACCCAGGATACAAATACCTTCTGAACTTTAACAGTGGTTAGATCCTGATCTGAACTTTGCAGCTGGCCT